CGGCCCGTGTCCACGACGTTGCTCAGATCGCCCAGCGCGCCGACGCCACAGCCCTGCTCCACCTTGTGGCAACTGCTGGACGACCCATGCACGCATGCGACGACAACCAGGCCGTCGCAGACAGTTTCACGACAATCTGCCACGGTGGGCCCTGTCCCACGTGGCCGCCACGCTGACCTTCGGCAGCAAATCACGGTCTGCGTCCAAGCCAAGCGGGACCGACCTCCGCAGCCGCCGAGTACCGTGACCACAGCGTGGACAAGCTGGCCACATATGCCATATGCCATTGCTTTTCACGACACGGCCCCAGCCGTCATCGCCGAAGCCAAGCAGCGGCGCAGTGGACCGTGGACCGCCACCACTAAACCGCTGTCAGCATCTGCGGCCTGCGGTCTCACACGCGGCTGGCGGCCGCTGCCGCATGAGCGGACCGAGTGAGCCGTCATGGCACCCAAGCCTGGGCTCGCCCACCAGCCAGTGCACCCTGCCGACGGACGGGCGCTGGGCGCGGTGGCCGCGCCAGAGGCTGCGCCACCTGCCGCGTCACAGGTGCCATCCCGTGTTCTTTGGGGCGAAGCCCCCGCCATCCAGCCTTGCCTGCGCAGTCCCACAGATTGCGCGGGCAGGTCTGTGACTATGCGCTCAGGCTACTCGGACGACAACTTTGCCTCCCTCCTCTATCCTGCATCCTCGTCCTCCTTACTCTCTCCTCCCTCTCCTCCTCCCTCCTCCCTGCTCCCTCTTCACTCCTCACTCCTCCTCACTCCTCCTCAACCTCACTCCTCACTCCTCACCCTCCTCCTCCGCTACCATCACCACCATCACAATCGTCACCATCATCATCAGTATTATCGTCATCATCTCTTGGCAGTCGGACAACGACGATGACGACAACCCAGACGACGACGACCCAGACCACGACATCGACGACGACGACGACGACGACGACGACGACGACGACGACGACGACGACGACGGCGGCGGCGGCGGCGGCGGCGACGGCGACGGCGACGGCGACGGCGACGGCGACGGCGACGGCGACGGCGACGGCGACGGCGACGGCGACAACGGCGGCGGCGACGGCGGCGGCAGCAGCCATGCCTCGGACGGCGAGAACAGGTAGAACAGCCTCCTGCCTGCCAACGAGGCACAAGGCCCCCTCCCCCACCCCCCAGCGGGACGGAGGGAGGAGGGAAAAGAAGAAGGAGGGAGGCGGGGGAAAAGACGGGAAAGAAGGAAGAGGTAGGGGGAGGAGGACGGTGGGGGAGGAGAGGAGGGAGCGAGTGGGAGGGACAGGCAAGAGGGGAGGAGGGGAAGGAAGGGAGGAGGAGAGGAGGAGGAGGAGGAGGAGGAGCAAAGTAAACCCAAGACCCATCAAGGATGTTGCAATGAACCCTCCCTCCAAGTTCCCTCTTCACAAGTCCCTACAAAGGTTCATTACCACTGAGGGAAGGGCCTCTCTTGAAAACGACCGCCCAGAAATCTTGAACCGTACCAGAACACCCTTCCTGGGACGTCAAGGCTGCGAATCAGCGTTATTGCTGCGTCCTGACAACCCTCTATGCCAAAACACCATTCCTGGGGCTTCAACACCGCGAATCAACGTAACTGCTGCGCCCTGACAATCCCCCATCGTGCAAAAACACAACTTCTGGAACGTGAACGATAAAGTTCCTTCAAACTGCTGTAAGCGCGGCGCCAAGGCGAAGGCCATAATTTGAAAACCGCATGCCCTCCATCCGTGAAACTCTTACATTTATTTGAACGAATGTGCGCGGCGCTACGGCGAGAACGGCATTTTGGAAACGGCCAGCCCTCCATCCGCGAATTTGTTGCAGCTTTCCAGCTTAAGGGTCAAAGGTGGTGGGGATCTCTCAGGCGAAACGCAGTCCCCCACTACCAACCCGTCTCGGGGTGTGACAGGGAGGAATAACTTATATAAGGGATGGGGATGGAGAAGGGAAAGAGGCAGGGAGGGAGGGAGGGGAAAGATGAGGAGAGGAGGGAATAGGATGAGAGAGGGGAAGGACGAGGGACGAGGAAGACAGGAATGGAGGGAGAAGGAGAAAAAGAAAGGGAGGGAGGGAGGGGAGAGAGTGGTGGAAAAGGGATGGAGGTCCCTAATCATCTCTCCTCACTGTTCCATTCTTCCCCTCCACCCTTCAAGAATCGCCCCCCCCCACAACTTGCCCCAGAGGCCCCAAAAGATGCAATGAAAAACTCACAAGAATCTAAATCAGTGAAGCTCAAACGTTCGTCCCACTTCTGCCCTTTGTTTGGGCCTTCCGGTGGCACTTATCACGATGCTGATGGTGATTATTCCTGGGTCTAGTGGTCACAGCGATGGCTTCCGTGCGTCACCAGCCAACTGCCCTCTAACCTGAGGGCGTTCGTTCCCGCGGACGCTTTCAAATCGGTGCCCTCCTCCCCTCCTCCTCCTCCTCCTCCTCAGCCTCCTCCTCCTCCTCCTCCTCCTCCTCCTCCTCCTCATCGTCCTCCTCATCCTCCTCCTCCTTCTCCTTGTCCTCGTCGTCATCGTCATGATCGTCATCATCATCAGCATCAGCATCATCAGCATCATCAGCATCATCATCACCATCATCATCATGATCATCATCATAATCATCATCATCATCATCATCATCATCATCATCATCATCATCATCATCATCATCATCATCATCATCATCATGATCATCATGATCATCATCATCATGATCTCCATCATCTTAATCATCTTAATCATACATTCATCATCATTCTATCTTCTCATCAACAGTCGTTTGTATTTATGCATCATCAATAGCAGGCAGCAGCATCCAGCATCATCATCTTCTTCCAAATCATCATCGTCAGCATCTACATCATCTGCAGTCATCAGCAGCTGTATCGTCATCATTCATCAGTATCATTTGACTTCATCATAATCTTCATCCTCCATCCGATCAATCTATCAATATCATCATCATCATCATCGTCTTCATCATAATCATCATCAGCAGCATCGTCAACATCATCAGCATCAACATCATCCTGAGCATCAAAAGCATAAGCATCAGCGGCATCATCATCATCATCAAAATCACCATCATCAGCATCATCATCAGCATAAGCATCATCATGAGCATCAGCATCAATAGAATCAGCATCATCATCACCATGATTATCACCAATCATAGTCATCATCAGCATTAGCATCAGCATCATCATCATCACCACAAGCATCATCATCATAATCATCATCATCATCATCATCAGCATGATGATCATCATCATCATGATCTCCATCATCATCATCATCATCATCATCATCATCATCATCATCATCATCATCGTCATCATCATCATCATCGTACTTATCATCATCATCAGCACCAGCATCACCATCACCATCATCAACATCATCAGCATCATCAGCATCAGTATCAGCATCAGCATCATCATCGGCATCATCATCAGCAGCAGCATCATCATCATCGTCAACATCATCATCGTCGTCAGCAGAAACATCACCATCACCATCATCATCATCATAATCATCATCATCATCATCATCATCATCAGCATCACCATCACCATCATCATCATCATCGGCATCCTCATCATCGGCATCCTCATCCTCATCATCATCGTCATCATCATCCTCATCATCATCATCACCATGAGCATCATCATCAGCATCCTCATCATCATCCGAGCCCTGACCCGGCCCAGAGACGCGGGATGTGGAAGTGTCCTTGTACTCCAGGCGGCGAGCCAGCGGCACGCCGACGGCGGCGAGTCCAGCGCCCGGGCCGCGCGAGAGCTGCGAGGTTGGCGGGAGAAACCAACAGGGGCTCCTGAAGATGATGTTCCTTGTGATGTCTGATGACGTCTGAGGCTATGTCTCTCCCTTGCGCCCGCCAGGGGCCCGAGGCGAGCTCTTCGGTCCAGCCCGCCGCTCTCCAAAGGCGGACTACGGCCTCACGGGGAGAGCCGACCACTGGCTGCACCAAAGTGAGCAGGGGATTCTCAAATAATCGAGGATAGAGATTTGGGGACTATAGCGTTAAGGCCTCGACGACTTCTGCTGTCCGTCACTTCGCGCTGGAGCTTCCGCTTTCTATACATTTATATATAAATGTATATATATATATACATATATATATACACGCACACATCAACATATATATATATATATACATACATATACATATACATACACATATACATTTACAGATACATTAACATATGCAAATGTATACCTATCTATATATATGGCCTTACCTCGACCTATCTGGGTTAACAAACATATAGTAACGTAGATCTACCTCGACTGATCTGGCATCATCCCCGCAAGTCGGTCGGAGAAGAGTCGCCAAGCTCTTAGGTATTATGGGCGGAACATCCCAAGCCTTGGAGAGAATGTGCCTGGCCTCGGGCCGGGCAAACCCGCCCGCACAAGCCCGCGGCCCTCTCTCCTACTCCTCCTTCCCTCCCGCCCTCCCCCCTCCCAACCGCCCACCTCCTCCTCCTCCTCCTCCTCCTCCATCCTCCTCCTCCTCTCCTCACTCGTCTCCTACTCCTCCTCCTCCTCGTCCTCCTCCTCCTCCTCCTCCCCCTCCTCCCCCTCCTCCTCCTCCTCGACGTTTCCTTTTTCCCGATCCTCCGTCCTCTCTCCTCCACGCTCGTGCTCCCGCACGCGCAGAGGGACGGCAGACGGCAGACGGCAGGCGAAGACGACGACGACGACGACGACGACGACGACGACGACGACGACGACGCGACGACGACGACGACGACGCGATGACGACGCGACGACGACGACGACGACGACGACGACGACGACGACGACGACGACGACGACGACGACGACGACGACGACGACGACGGCGACGGCGACGACGGCGGCGGCGGCGGCGGCGGCCACGACAGCGACGATGACGACGACGGCGGCGACGACCAGGGCGCCTTCGATCTGGGTGAGCCAGGCGTGCGCGCCGCCGATCTGCTCGTGCAGCCTGCCCCTGCGTCCCCGCCCCAGAAGGGGTGCTCGGGTCGCGGCTGCCCAGGTAGAAACCCCGAGAGGAAAGGGAGGAGAAGGAAGAGAAGGAGGAGGATGAGGAGGACGACGACGACGGCGACCTCCTGTACCTGGCGGGCGCCGACTCCTTTAACTAGTCTCGTCTCGGCCATATGTTCCTTCATTTTCCGCGGCGCCCGCTAGGTACATGCGAGCCGAATCGCGCACGCACTTCGCTCTTTTTCCAAATCAAAAACGCCACAGGCTTTCATCTCAGATTTTCTTAACGTAAAAAAGGAACGGAGAAGGAAGAGAATAGAAAGAGGTGGAGGACAAAGGAAAGAAGCGGAGGACGAGGGCAGCGGATAGGGGAAGAGGGGAAGGGGATGGGGGAGGGGGAAGGGGGAGGGAGAAGGGAGGAGGGAGGAGGGAGAAGGGAGGAGGGAGGAGGTGAGATGAGATGCGGGCGGTCGCGAAGCGAGTCTTTTTTTATAAGACCCTGGCCGCACGCTCATCATTGCTGCGCACTTTAGGCACAAAGTCCCTCTCTAAACGACGGAGATACCCCCTGCCCGTGGATGTGATGGGAACGCACTCGCTGGCCAGCTTCTTACTGAGAAGTACCTGGCCCATTGAAACGCAACTTCCGCAGACCCAAATATTAAAGGCTCGTGAACCATCATTTTATGGGACCTGTGGACCATACCCCCCGCGAGGTATAACTCCCGACCCGCAGGCAACAATTAAACTTTCTCGGTAGCAGGTTCAAGCAGGAAACAAGGGGCGGCAAGCCAAGACTCCAATCAAGTCTCGGTCGCCGACCCTTTGCACACAGAACACCTTCTCCCGCAAATCTCGACCTGGTGAGCCGATGCAAACAGAGCACTGGCACAGGGGCGCGCGCGCGGAATGGCAGGAGCCTGCGATTTCTTCCTCGGACTGGTGCCCATGGATGTCTGCAAGACGACCCTCGGGGGCCTCATCCGAACTTTGCGTGCATCATTTGCCACCTGCGACACGTTTGCCCGTTCATGTTCGGGCAAGCGAGCCTTGCTGGCCGCAACCCGCGAAGTGATGCATGCATACGTTCCCAACAACCACCCATGACGAAATGTGCTGATCCACGAGCTGTTGCGCCTGCAAATGAAACTGCATCTTCAACACCACAATTTTACCACATTCACAGAAAAAAAAAAAAAAAAAAAAAAAAAAAAAAAAAAAAAAAAAAAAAAAAAAAAAAAAAAAAAAAAAAAAAAAAAAAAAAAAAAAAAAAAAAAACGTCGCTGGATGTTCCTCCAGATACCGGCATTCACACCCGAAGGACACTCGAATACTCGCGACCACCATCCACGGCAGACCTCGCCCCTGTCGGCGACGTACACCGTTGGTCCTTCCGACCAACGGATGGCGACCTCCAGCATGCAGAGCCCCCCTCTCGCAACCGCGTGGCGGTCGCCTGGTAGAGGGCCGCGCACACAAGGAAAGACATCCTCGATATCGGCATCCTGATTAAGCACAGCAGCTGCTGACCCTACTCGGCGAAGTCGCGGGTCACGCGCGCCTGCGCCTCGAAAAGCATCCCACAAAAGATCAGCAGCTCGTCCGCCGAACCTGAGGCGAAATATAATGTGCCGGCCTGGACTTGCCCCGCACCTTTCCACTCCCCCCTTCTGCGTCGGCTCGTCAGCCTTAGTCCATTCTGCAGGGATCAACCCACGAAACCAAAAACATTCTGCTAAATTGGCCTGGGTGGCCGCCCGATGACACGCGCCATCGGCCATGCCAAAAATACACGAGCCAGCGTTGCCCGAACATTGCCATCACCCGTGGAGCGGCGCTTCAATGAACACCTCTCGCACACACCCGAACAATCACATCCACCCTCCTCGCGCCTCGACCTTGCCCATACTCCCCCAACTGCAAAAATTTCAAGGGTCATCTCGGCCAGCCTTCGGCCGTTCGGCGGAACTTCGAGCTGGTTCAACTGCTTGCGTAGACTGCAATTGGCCATCCACAACTCCACACCTCCTCCGCAGCAGGTCCGAGACGCATCGCCCCGAAGCTGCATGTGGCAGGTCTGGGTGAAGTCGCCGGGCAAGACATTCGCCTCGGTGGCTGACTCGAGCTAGCTGGCGTCGAACTTCCAACCCGGCACCTCTCCTGCTCGATCGGTCCAACCTGCTGGCAGGCACCCCTCCGTCGGACCTTGCGGGCCCCATCCAGATGGTAACATATCGCGCATCAATCCTGATATGGGTCCTCACACGCGCCGCGAGCGGCGACGCGGCCCCAACTCGAAACTGATTGAGAATATCGTGCCAAACTCGCGTAACACGCACGCGCACACGTGGTTCCTCAACCCACACCAGTACCCACTGCCCCAGAAACTGCCGCGGCAGCCGCGCTCCAGGGTCGCGACGTGGAGCGCGGATGTCGAGCAGGGCGGCGAGGTCGCGGCCGCGCTCGCCCCCCCCGCGACCGCACCCTGACGACGGCGAAGCCCCTGAACCGACGACTTGGGCAACCCGTGGACATTGCGCCCGTTGTTCGCCGCCATCTGGGACCCACCCTGCTCGATATTCTTGGGGGCCTTGAACCCCCCGGATGTCATGGCGAAACGGTTTACCTCAAGATGTTGGACCTTCGAGTTCCTCACCCCAGCGGTGCGAGTGAGCCTCCCACGTCGTTTCCCACTGCCCACGTCGGCACCAAGGAACGTCGATTGGCGGCCCCATTGAACCTCGACGCCCTCTCCTAAAGACGTTCGAGAATCAATTTCGCATCTGCAATACGAGCACATGCGATGATACTCTTAGGTGCCAATCGTAGTGACTGCTCCTCAAGGAGCTCCTGAGTAGCGACCACACCTTCTTCAAGCACCTCAATGACATGGCGGCGCGGCCCAACTGCAACCTGCGAAAGGTCGCCCAACCAGAGGCGCCCGGCAAATTGTGGATGGCACGTGGTCAATCTGTCTCTAACTGCATGCGCCATACATTTGGCGAAACGCGCCCCACTGCGAAGGCCTTGAATGATAGACCTTGTGGTTCGGAAAGGACATGACACAAAGTTCGCCTGGGCAACTAGGCGGGGGTCTGCACATGCTTACAACTGCAAGCGCAATGCGGCGGCTGTGAAATTGCCCTCGATGGCCAGCTCCACGAAGATGCGCCAGTCTATCTCATCGTGGAAGCTCTTGATGACAAGTAAAGCGTGGCCCTGCGATGCTTTCAAACTGTCATAGATATACATATGTATATATACATATATATATATACATAAATATATGTATGTAAATATGTAAAAAAAATGAAAAGAAGAAGAAGAAGAAGAAAAAAATGTTTCATAGTTTCATATATATAAATAAAATCCTCGTCCAAGACACGCATATACGCTTCTTTGAATGCCGAATTGCCTGCCGCCACCGCACCCCAGTCCGTCTAGCCATTGGCATTCCATTATTTTGCGCACGGCTCTCCGGCTAAAGAACAGACGCGGCATAAAAAAAACAAACCAACCCAATGATGCGATCACACGGTGACTTCCTCGGCAGGGGGCGCCCTAGAACAACGAGAAGCATCCAGGGCCGCGCACCACACTGCTCGATCCGATTGAAAACCGACGTCAGCTCCATGATGGCAATATCGGGCAATCCGGGGGGGCGGTGTGTGTGTGTTGTGTGTTGTGTGTTGTGTATTCTGCGTTGTGCGTTGTGTGTGCGTGTGCGTGCGTGTGGGTGCGTGCGTGCGCGCGTGTGTGCGTGTGCGCGCGCGTGCGCGTGCGCGTGCGTGTGTGTGCGCGCGTGCGTGCGTGCGTGCATGTGTATGTGTATGTGTATGTGTATGTGTATGTGTATGTGTACGTGTACGTGTATGTGTATGTGTATGTGTATGTGTATGTGTATGTGTATGTGTATGTGTATGCGTATGTGTATGTGTATGTATATGTGTATGTGTATGTGTATGTGTATGTGTATGTGTGTGTGCGTGCGTGCGGGCGCGTGTGCGTGTGCGCGTGCGCGCGCGTGTGCATGTGCGTGTGCGCCTGCGCGTGCGCGTGCGCGTGCGTGTGCGCGTGTGCGCGCGCGTGCGCGTGCGCGTGCGCGTGCGCGTGCGTGCGTGTGTTCGTGTGTGCGTGTGTGCGTGTGTGTGTGTGCGTGTGCGCGTGTGTGCGTGCGCGTGTGTGCGTGTGTGCGTGTGTGCGTGTGTGCGTGTGTGCGTGTGAGTGTGTGCGTGGCGTGCGTGCGCGTTGCGTCGTGCGCGCGTCTGCCGGCGCGTGCGTGCGTGCGCGCGTTTGCGCGTGCACGCGCGTGTGCGCGTGCGCGCGTTTGCGCGTGCACGCGACGCGCGCGGGCCGCTCTGCGCGGTGCGCTGTGCGCGGGCGCCGTGTTGCCGTGGGCGCGCAGTGCCGCTTGTGCGCGAAGTGTGCCTGTGCGCGCGTGTGCGTGCTGCGTGGTGTACGTGTGGGCGTGTGGGGCGGGTGCGTGCGTGCGGGCGGGCGGCGTTGTGCGTGGCGGCTTGCGTGCGTGTGTGCGGGTGTGCATATGTGCGAGTGGGCGTGTGTGCGTGTGTGCGGTGGGCGCGTGTTGCCATTGCGTGTTGTGCGCGTGTGCGTGCGTGCGTCTGTGCGAGTGTGCGTGTGTGTGTGTGCGCGTGCGCGCGTGCGCGTGTGCGCGCGTGCGCGCGCGTGCACGTGTGCGCGTGTGCGTGTGTTCGTGTGTGCGTGTGTGCGTGTGTGCATGTGTGCGTGTGTGCGTGCGTGCGCGTGTGCGCGTGTGCCTGTGTGCGCGTGTGCGTTCCCTGGCTTCTCGATAGGCCGCATCTGATGCGCGCGAAGACACGCACGCGTGGCGGTGTGCGTGGGTTGCGTGTGTGCGTGCGTGCGTGGTGCGTGGCGTGCGTGTGTGCGCCGTGTGCGTGTGCTATCGCGTGCGCTTGCGGGTCCGTGTGAGCGTGCGCGAGGCGTGTGCGCGTGTGCGTGTGCGCCTGCGCTGCGCGG